AGAAAAGAAATTGGAAATAAACAAAATATTATATATAGGAATATAGGATTGTTGTCAGGCTTAATCAAATCACGTCAACGTCAATTGAAAAGTTTAGACAAGTGATGTGTGTAAAGAGTCTTGCTGACAACTAAAGATGACTTTTAAAATGCAGAGTGAAAAATTATATATATAAAAGTAAGGTTTCACTCTCTTTTTATTGGTGGAAAAATATTTAATGTTTTAATTTTTTTTTAAAAAAATAAATAAATAAATGTTTATGACAATCAATCAATACAAAATTTAATTACACTATAAGTTATAATCAAATGGCAAAGAAAATGAAAGAACTTAATCATATATCATTCAACAAAATAAATAAATAAATTAATGTTTATGACAATCATTCAATACAAAATTCAATTACACTATAAGTTATGATCAAATGGCATATAAAATGAAAGGACTTAATCATATATCATTCAACAAAATAAATAAATAAATTAATGTTTATGACAATCATTCAATACAAAATTTAATTACACAATAAGTTATGATCAAATGGCAAAGAAAATGAAAGGACTTAATCATATATCATACAACAAATTTTATAAAGCTTATTGGTGAAAAATTATTTAAAATCATATATATACTAGGTTTGAACCCGCGGTACACCGCGGGAATATGTGTAATTAAGTTTCTTATAAATATTAGGTAGTTTAGGAGTGTTTTATAATATTCATTTTTTTTATATGAGTGTAGTTTGTATTTGGTTGAAAGAAACCTATTGTTTTAACGGGTAGACGTACATGTATAGTGGTTTTTTATTTTAAAAATGTAACTATATTTAGAATGTCTAATAAATATTTGTTTTGGAATTTAATTGTACTAATTTTGCAGTCGTTTTGTGTATGTTCAGTTTTTAATTGTATAATCACGAGTGGCTATCTTTTGTATTGTATTATAAAATTAATCAATTATTATGTTTGATGTTTCATTTTAAATTTGGGAGTTTTATGTTTATTAATTTTCTGGGTTTGAATCCCCGATGTACCGCGGGACAATATATAATTATTATTTACCAACCATTTATTCATAACCTTTTTTTGTTATAACTTGCATCTGTTGCTAGCTGTTATTTGTTAACTTTAATAATAAAATATTTTTTATTAAGGTTTCACTCTCTTTATTGTTCTATTTTGTATTTATTTTTTAAAATATAATATTTATTTTTAAGTAACCAAAAAAACATATTTAATCATATACATTAATTCATACTTTAAATTCACACTTTACTAATAAAATGAAACTGAAAATTATATAAATTTTCAAAGACTATTGGTTTTCTTTATTGAATTCCAATTAAACACACTATAAATTATAATTATAACTCCTCTAATTTAATTATTTTAAAAATGTAACTTACATCACTTCTTATTATAAATAGTTATTCTCACATCCTTCTCTACCATATCTCATATCTTCATTATTCTCTTTGTTTTTTTTAAAAGTTCTTGCATGGGGTGAAAACTCATTTAAAATATTATTGTAAGAGTTTGATTAATTATTTAGTTTAAACTTTTGTTTTCAATTTTATTTATTTTTGTTTTTATGTATTTCTTTATGTCTTCATTGTTTTTTATATTTTTAAATGTAATACATATGTATAATAATATTTTATGGTTATAAGAAAATCAAGATAAAGAAACCATCTTCATTATTTTACATTGGATGTTTGTTTCTTTCTCACATATTCATGTATATTTATTTTAATTTCAAAAGTGTGTAATTTTTTAACAAAATAAACTTTTTGTTATATACTCATCAAACCAATTTGTAAGACATTCTTTTAAGAATAATGATCCTTATATTTAGTTTGTGATTCAACATGTAATAATATAAACAACATTATAATTTTTGTTAACTTTGAATTTTATACTTGACTTCCTACATAAAAAACAATTTGACATTCAATTTTCTATCTATTATATATACTACAACGATGAAATATATAATTAAACTTAGAGATATAGCTTAAATTAAGAGGAATATAAAAACAAATTAAAAAATAAAATTATTCTTTGGGAGTTTTTTAAGGTTTCTCCTTATTGGTCCATTTAGCATTTATTTTTTAATTATAATATTTATTTATAATTAAACCAAATATCTAACACATTTAGTCATATACTTTAATTCATACTTGAAATCCACGCTTTACTATTAAATTGTAACTTAAATTATATAACCTTTCAATTGACTATTTGTTTCCTCCATTCAATTTCAATTAACACACTATAAAATATAATTATAACTCCTCTAATTTAATTATTTTAGAATTATAACTTACATCATATTTTATCCTATAAATACTCATTTTTACATCCTCCTCCACCATATATGATATTCTCAATATTTTCTTTGTTTAATTTTAATGTTCTTGCATGGGTTGAAAGCTCAATTAAGATATCATTGTAAGAGCTTGATTATATATTTGGTTAAAACTTTTGTTTTCAATTATATTTCTTCTTTATTTTATGTACTTTTTCATTTTTCATTGTTTTCTATACTATTAAATATATAATACATATGTATAATAATATTTTATGGCTATAAAGAAATTACTTTATCGATGGGATTCAAAAATATTGATTTCTGACCATCGCACCATAAGAAAATCAAGCTAAATAAACCATCTTCATTGTTTTACTTTATATGTTTTTTTTCTTTCTCACAAATTCATGTATATTTATTTTATTTTCAAAGTATGTAATTATTTTAACAAAATATTTTTTGGTTATATTCAAACCAATTTGTAAGACATTGAAACAAATAAAATTTTATACACAAATAAAGGTAATTTGTGCGTATATTTATGTTTACACACATATATGGATAAATTTTAACATTTTTAGTGGTTGTTTTGATAAAGTTTGAAATGAGGGTAAATTTAAAAAGTGGTATTTTTAAAGGGGGAATTTCAAAAATACCCCTTTTCATATACATCTTTTTTAAAATACCTCTTTTCAAACTTTATCAAAAAACCCACTAAAATTGTTGAAATTTATCCAAATATGTGTGTAAGCTTATAAATATATACACAAATTACCTTTATATGTGTATAAAATATACCTTTCATAAATAGCGTAAAAATAAATTATAAAAACCTTATAAAAACCTTATAAAAACCGTATAACCCCTTTTAAAAACCTTTTAAAAACCTTATAAAACTTATAAACGATTTAAAACGATTTAAAACATTTTAAAATATTTGTATCGAATCTCCCAGTAGTAGTTATTATATAGAAGTACCTTATAAACTATATAAAACTTTATATTTTTTTATATTTAAAAAGAGGTATTTTTGAAAATGGATAGATAAATGGGGTATTTTTAAAAAGAGGTACACCAAAAGTGGTATTTCTCAAAAATTCTCATTTTTAAAAGGGTATTTTTTAAATTCTCCCAATATCATTCATATTTTTATCATTAACAATATTATTGTTTTATCAAAAAATACTTAAAAGCACTAAAGAAAATTACTATCAAAATTGAACAATTAATCAACGAATAAATTCAAAAGATATGGATGTATGTTTCTATTGTATGATTTAAATAAATAAAATATAAAAATGTCATAAACATTAAAATTTATTTAATCTATTTTTTATAAGTAATAAATAATTTAAAATAATTAATCTAATATACACCAACCCGCGCATATGCGCGGGACATTATCTAGTATTATAAATATTAACTTGACTATTTTGGAGAGCTTAATTAGTTAACTGGTTGAACCAAAGCTGAATAAAGTTTGTAAAGAATCCTATCTATTTTTCGAATTTGCCAAATAAAGTAAAAAAAAAAATACGTATCTTATATAATTTATCTGTTCCAAATTTCTCGATTATAATCTTTTTTTTTAAAAATATTTTCTATTTGTTTCATTTTATTAGATTTTTCTATTTTTATACAATTTTTTTTATTAATTTAATTATTTATTTCTATTCTTTTTGGTAGAATTATTTATTTCTATTAAAATTATACGGAATTTTATTCTATTAGCTGAATTTTTATAAATGATATCATGTTTATTATTTTTTAATTGTAATACTTTAAAGCAAAACATCTTATAAAATAGAATATAGAGAGAAAATTTTGAACCTATTTTCTTTTTAAAATTTTATGCATATTTTAATGTTAGTCGTTACAATTTGATATAAACATAGAGGTTGTGTTATATGAATTACTGAATTTAGAAAGAAAAATCTTACAAAATATTTACACAAGATATAAACATAAAATCACTGCCAAAAAAAAGAAATTAGATTTTTAAGAAAAACAAAACATTAATTGAGATGGCGTATAAAACCTAGTCGGAAACTACAAAAGTTGTATTGTTTTTTTTTATTTGAAATTTGTAAAGTAAAAGTATTGGTTTATTAGTAGTATTGGTCCTTTTCCTAGGAGGAAAAAAAAGAAAAAGAACAAATCTTTTGGACTTCAACACTCCAAACCTTTGGTCTTCCTTCCTAAGTATCTCTCTCTTTATCTTTTGGACATTGAAGTGTATCTTCTTGTTCTAAAAGCAACTCTTGTGATCAAAGACATAGAAATTGAGAAGTCTTGTGGGTTTTAGGAACAGAGAGTTTTGAAAGATGCAGCAGTTGTGGGTAGCACGGGAAACTAAGAAGAAGGAGAGAATCATCAAAGGAAGAGACTTAGTCGATATTGTCTTCTCTTGGTCGGTTCTTGATGTTCTGAACTCAAATCTTTACAAAGGACAGGTTCTGTATTCTTCTGAGTCTTTAACTTTAGGGTTTTGTTTTAGAAACTTAATATATATACTTACTTATGGATTTGGTGTTATTGGTTTATAGGTTGGGAAGATCCCTACCACATTCACATCTACAAAAGAGTATTTGGAGTCGTTTGTTAATCCTCTTATTGAAGAGACACATGAAGCTTTGTTGTCAAGTATGAGAACGTTACGCCGTGCACAAGCATTCAAGTTTTGGGAAATCAAGCCAGCTAAAGATTTCAAATCTCCCAATAGTCTTTATTATGAGGTTACTTTGGAGATGATGGCTGGTAATATGACTAATGGAGGTCAAAATTTGGTAGAGTTCAATGATCTTCTTGCAGTGACAGATAAGAGGCCTATTCGGATAGATGACTTGAGATTTTCCAATGAGCCTCTTTTGTTAGCTCTTGTTTGTGGAGTGAATGAAGATAATCCACATTTGATAACTATCTTGGCTTCAAAACCCATTATTTGCGAGGATGATGACGATAACCGAACGTCGAAAAAGAGAGGAAAGGGTGGGAGGAAAAGCTTAAGCATCTTTGGGGTTAATTTGATCAACATGATGACCAATATTCGTATTTGGACCGCGTTGCATCCTGATCCAGAAGGAGGAAACTTGAAGCTTATTTCAAGAGTACTTCAAAGCAACAATGAGGTAATTAAGTTAATGTTTTGAAACAGAACCAAAATCATATTTTGATAATGTTATTCTTGTGTAGGTTGATGGAGGAAGTTGTGTTGCCTGTAAAGAAAACAGTGAGAGTGTTGTGTCACATGACTCAGCGCGAATGCTACGTTCGTTCAAACTGAATTCATCTCAAGAAGACGCGATTTTGCGTTGTCTAGAAGCTAAAAGCTGTTACCATTTCAACAACATCAAACTTATATGGGGACCTCCGGGCACGGGGAAGACAAAAACAACAAGTGTTCTGCTTTTGAACCTTCTGAAATTGAGATGTAGGACACTGACTTGTACTCCAACTAACATAGCTGTTTTGGAAGTTTGTTCAAGGCTTGTGAAATTAGTCTCTGAGTCATTGAACTTTGGTGGGTATGGCCTTGGAGATATTGTGTTGTTTGGTAATAAAGAAAGGATGAAAATCGATGACCGGGAAGATCTTTTCGATGTCTTCCTTGAGTACCGAGTTGAGGAGCTTTATAGATGCTTTATGGCAATGACTGGATGGAGAGCAAATGTAAACCGTATGATCTGTTTGCTCGGTGATCCGAAAGAAGAGTATCGCCAGTACAATCTCGTAAACAAAACAAGCCTCTCGTTTAAAGAATTTGTGCAGGAAAGGTTTAGCAGACTAAGAAATGAGCTGCAGCATCAGTTTCCAACTTTGAGCCTGCATCTACCAACTACATTACTCTCCTTTCGAGTGGCGGAGAAAATGAATCAGACTAACCATCTCCTTAGAGATATCGCGATTTCTGATATCATGGGAGATGGTAATAATAAGTCTTGTCATGGAAGAATGAAACATGTCCCAAAAGATACTGTGGATGAAAATGATAGATTGGAGAATGATACAAGAAAACAAGATTGTCTTGACATGTTGATATCAATTTCTTTAAGTATCAAACTTCCAGATTTTATATCAAAGTTTGAACTCAAAAGACTCTGCTTAGCAAATGCATATCTACTTTTCTGCACAGCATCAAGCTCTGCCAAGTTACACTTGAGTACTCCACTACAGCTTCTTGTGATAGACGAAGCGGCTCAGTTAAAAGAATGCGAATCAGCGATTCCTTTGCAGCTTCCAGGACTTCAACACGCTATATTGATCGGTGATGAGAAGCAATTGCCTGCAATGATCCAAAGCAAGGTTTGTTTTGTTACTAATTAGTAATTATTTTACACTTTCACCATCTTTTTTGGCTTAGTAAACTTGTTATATGCAGATTTCTTCTGAGGCTGATCTTGGGAGGAGTTTGTTTGAAAGATTGGTGTTGTTGGGGCACAATAAACAGTTACTGAACATGCAATACCGAATGCATCCTTCGATTAGTATTTTCCCAAACAGAGAGTTTTACGGTATGAAGATTCTTGATGCTCCTTCTGTGAGAGTGAGAAGTTATGAGAAAAAGTTCCTTCCTGAGAAAATGTATGGACCTTACTCTTTCATCAACATATCCTATGGAAGAGAACAGTTTGGAGAAGGATTCAGTTCAAAAAACATAGTGGAAGTGTCTGTTGTGGCTGAGATAGTCTCAAAGCTTTACTCAGGTAAAAGAAAATTTTGATTTTGATCAGTCTTAAAAGTAGTAGAGTTTGATGTTGGTTCTTGTTCTGTAATGTGATCTTTAGTATCAAGAAAGACGGGAAGATCGATCAGCGTAGGGGTGATTTCACCTTACAAGGCTCAAGTGTTTGCAATCCAAGAAAGGATAGGCGAAAAGTATAATACTGGAGAGTCATTTACTGTGAGTGTTAGGTCTGTAGATGGGTTTCAAGGAGGAGAAGAAGATATCATTATAATCTCGACTGTTAGGTCTAACGGTAAAGGAGTAATCGGTTTTTTATCTAACCAACAAAGAACCAATGTAGCACTCACACGCGCGAGGTATCTAAACATTTTCACAGTTTGTTGAATTAGTTTCGTTAGTTTCTTGATTCATTACGTTTGTTCTTGTAGATATTGCCTGTGGATTCTTGGAAACGAAGCAACTTTAACGAGCAATAGATCAGTGTGGAGGAAGTTAGTAGACAATGCGAAAGCACAAGATTGTTTCCATGATGCAGAAGATGATGAATCATTAGCTCAGTGTATTGAAAGATCAACAACAGCACTTGATGATCTTGATAAGCTTCAAAACAAGAAACTCATTTCCTTTGAAAATTCGATATGGAAGGTATGATCTATAACATAAATACTCTGTATAGTTCATCCTCTGATCTTTTTTTTTTTCACTATGTCCAACAGGTTTGGCTTAGCTATGAGTTCTTGAAATCTCTGGAAGTTATAGTAGACTCTGAAGTTAACAAAAGAGTTATGAACTTTTTGGAGAAGTTATCTAATGGGAAAGAGCTTCAACACGAGGTTGAGAATGAGAGTAAGAGTCAGTTGAGACAAGAGGAGATTGATGATGGCCTCAGCCTCATATGGGCAATAGACATAACCAAGAATAACAATCACTATGTCCAAGTTTTGAAGATCTGGCAGGTTCTGTCATCTTCTGATGTTTCTCATGCCATAGAACATCTAGAGAAACATTACAAGAGATACACAAAAACCAAGATTAATCGGTGTAGATACGTATGCTCTCAAGGGTGAGTTAATTAGTTGAAGTCTTTGGTGTTAAGTTAGACTGAAGCAAGCTTTGTAAAGTTATGTCTTTATGTTTTCAATATGTGATGCAGAGATTTAGTTATACCGATGAAATGGCCGATCGATTCGGATTCTTGCACGAAGAAAGATATCGTAAACGACGTTTCAAGATCGTTTGCATTGCTGAGTGTTGTTGAGGAGGAGGAGCCTTTGACTCCCAAACCAATCAAGTAAAGCTTTCTTTAGTGTGGTTTCTTTGAGATTTCAGGAGTTTCATACAAAAGTGATTATATTTTTGTTTTGTAGGAAGATAAGGAATATGTGGAAAATGAGAAGAAAGGTTCAACTTTCAACATCTAACTCCAAAGACCCTAAGTAAATTTCCACTGTTTCTTTCGTAAAAAGCAGACAATGTGAATCTGCTTCTTTTGTGTCTTGTTGTAATCTCTCTTTCTCCATTATCTTTTTGCTATTTTGTGTCGGTAAATACTAATTTGGGTTTTGTGAGGATTCTCAGAAACTTGTTCCGAAAGGACTGTAGTTTTTTATTGTGTTTTGTTACGGTACTAGATTTTAACCCGCGGTACACCGCGGAACGATAATTTAAAATGTAATATTTTTGTTTTGTTTGATTAAGAAGATTGTGCTACTGTATTTTGATTTTTAATTTTATGATTTAGCCCGTGAAATATTGCACAATTTGTTCTTTATATAATCGGAATTTGATCAACTTAAATAAATAAGTTTAATTCAACATAATGGAATGATGTTGACATAACATCTTTCGTTTAATAATCTAATTTCAGATTAAAATATTTTGTGTGTTTTACTATAGTAGACAACCCGTAAAAACATATATAATCATAATTATGTAAAGATAAGTATGTAAATTATAACCTGCTCCATCACATGACCCGTACATACATTTGTTTGTTTCATTTGAGTAATCAAATTGCAATATATACGAAAAAATTATATTTTTATTATACATGTGTTTTATGTAATAATATAAATTTTAAAACAAATAAGATCATAAAAATATAGTGAAATTTAACTAGTTTGACACAAATTTGACCAAAAATAACTGAATTAACCCTCTGTTTTTGGTCATTACTAGAATGACACAATATTTATGTAAAAAGTCCAAAAAACCTAAACCTAAAAAATAGCAATTAATAGAAAAGTCTGTCACACATATATAAATCTGTCATAATAAAATGAACAAATTTATAATATTTTTCTATATATAATTTTTTTTTCAAAAATTAAAATTACGTAAAACATTCAAAAATACATAATATATAAATAATCAAAACATAAAGTTTATTTTTATCTTATTTTTTCTACTAAATTTATGAACGAAAATATTAAAATATATATATAAACTAAATGGAAATTTTATTTATCATAATACATAAATACATATTATTTAACGAGTTAAGTTCAAAAATATAATAAACATTATCAAAAGTTGATGGAGAGGATGAGGAAGAGAGGCAAAAACAAAACAAGACGTAACTTCCAAAAACCGTAAATTTTTTTTACGGCTTTATATGGCAAACTTAACACTTACTCTTAAAAATGTCTGTCGCTACACCTTATACAAATCTGTCGCATAACATAGTAATAAATCTGTCATAATCTTTAAAAAAAATTGTCGTAATAAGTAAAAAAAAATCACTATGTCACTACTCGGAAAAAACAACTGTCATAGAACCTTCATTAAAATTTGTTATAGAATCTGTCATAACCCATCAAAAAATCTGTCATTACATGTTACAATTAGGTTGCTACATAAACAAATATTACAAAAAAAAAAAAAAAACTGTCACAAGATAAATTAATCTGCTATTACATACATAGGTCATTCTAGCAATTTTTAACAAAGTTTAACAAAAATCTGTTATCAAGTGACAGTTTTTTAGTAAATTTTTACAATCTGTCATAACCTCACACAAATCTGTCATCACTATAAGTCAAATTAGTAATTAATTTTCTGTTAACAAGTCTGTCAATACACGACAATTTTTTTTTGGGAAAAAAAATCTGAAATAACTAACAAAATAAATCTGTCAAATATTTTCACAAATCTTTCATACGTTACAAAAATCTGTCGTATATAACAAAAGTCTGTCATCGTTACATTTAAAAGTCTGTCATAAACAAATTAATCTGTCGCTAATATTAAATCTGTCGTAACTATTTCCAAACAAATCTGTCATTCAAAATAAATCTGTCATAGAAAATCTGTCATTCTATAATTAATCTGTCGTACAAAAATAAATCTGTCACTACATTAACAACATTAACGACAGACTTTTACGAAAATTGCTGATTATTTTGTAAAGGGTAATGTTGACTTTTTTTTCTTTCCTAACAAAGCAGAAAAGGGTATTTTTGTAATGAAAAGTACTCATCTAACCCAAATATTTTATAAGTTAGTCTAGTAATTAATCTCTTTATTTGGGTTAATCTAGTTTTTTCCCTAAAAATATATTGGAGAAATATTTGATTTATTAAAGGAGATATTTTAGGAAAATTTGTTAAATGCAATAAATACTGATTTCCATGTTTTGCAATTTGATTATAATTTAATTACAAAATTTACCTTAATTTTTTATTATTTATGCAAATGGCAAGAGTTTAATTATGCAAATATTACAAAATAAAAGGTTATAACCCAAAATGTACTTCAAAAATGTTAATATAGATTCTGCTGGATATAAGTAATGGTAATAATCCTTGTTCTTGTTATTTCAGAACACTTAGAACATTTATTTAGTCTTCTTCTGTTTATGATAGATAATTTGGTTTTGTATTGCAGGTTTGAGAACACAACACTTTGAACATTTATTCAGCCTACTTCTGCTTATGAGCCTGCTTTTTTGGACAGTACACTTGGAACATTTATTCAAGGAAAGAATATTATTATTTAAGAATCCCAAGTTAGAGTTATACGATTGGAGTAGAACAAATTTTACAATTTCTAATGAAGTGTTTAACTTTAAATTCCCAAAAATAATATTAAAAATAGTGCTTACCTTGGAAATGTTCTAAAATTTTCTTTTTCTTTCTCTCATACATATATAGTGGAAACTTGTGAAATTTGTGAGACCCCGATTTGCATAAACATTTAAATGAATTGATTTAACCACTTATATCCCCGAACCGCACTTATCTTTTCGTTCAAAGGTCCTGAGAGAACTTTGCCTTTGCCCCATATCACAAGGTATAACCCTTCACAGATAACCACCACACCAAGAACCCTACCAAGAAAACAAGATATATTTCATTACAATCATTCTGATTCTGATACTTAAAAGTTAAAGCTCATGTTTGATGTTTGATGATGATTTGCTTATATACCTTCATAGATGCATCTGCTGTGCAAAGATGATGGTCGACATAATAGCCACTATGACCATACATAGCGGACTAAAGGCTGTGACAAACACAGGACCTCTAGTCCTCATCACCAATCTTCCAACATAGTATGCTAATGCAGAGCATACTATCCCCTACACACACGTTTAATTCTATTAAATATACTTAGTGATGAACATTGACTTAATGTAATATGTACGAATGAATCTTACATTATAGGTGGAAGTCAGAATTTTAATATCCCAACCAATGGCCCAAGCGCTAGGAGTTTTTTTCTCCATCACTAGTGCCATGACCGTTCCTTCTATTGTCCCCCATAGGCAAAATTAATTTTTCAACTTTCAGAGATGTTACAAAAACAGAACTATAATAATTAGCACAATGATTTTTACTCACTTTATACAATGAGGTGAGAGAATTAAATAACAAATTATTATTACTTGCTTTTCATTTTTTAATCTTCTGAGTAATAGAATAGTAATACCCTTTCTAATTTTGCTCATGTTTAGCTTATGCTTTGCTATAACTTTGCAATAAAATTGTATTTCTTTTTTGTTGTTTCAAATCTTAAGAAATAATTATTATGTTTTGCTAATGTCAAATGCATATTGACATGTATATTCAACTAAAAATTAGATTTTAATATGAACCATATATTATATTAGTATGAAATTATACTTAAAATAAAACATGGCATATCCTTATGCAAACATTATTATATTTAAAATAGAAAAACTCATACCAGATTTGACTTATGTGGAAGTCCAAATTAACAACATGACATATCCTAATGCATACACATCCTAAACTAATGATATAACATTTGGATCATTTGGATAATGAATTGATAGTCTATGGTATCACAAAATTGATAATGAAATTTCGCATATCATTACTAACCAATGAGCGATAATACTTTGCCATCCAACAAATTAATCAATATCCACAAATTAAATACATTAGCTAGATAGCTGAACTATGCACAAATTTAATGCATTAGAGCAACATTATCAAGGAGATGTTAATTTTTGATTTTAGTATTAATTAATTATTAAATTTGAAAAAGTAAGTGTTAAGAGTTATATTTTAGTTTATAGTTTTGAGATGTGTTTATTGGTATGATCTTAAGTTGGGGTATCTTAGGAAAAGAAATTATTTAAAATTTAAATTAAATTTAAATTTATAATTTGAGAAAAACTTTATAATTATTGCAAAATTTAAAATTTAAAACATACATAAGATAAAATTAAGGAAAGAAAGAAGGGAAAAATTAAGGAAAGAAAGAAGGGAAAAATTAAGGAAATTGTTTTTTTCTCCCTTATATATTTATCCTACGAAAAAAAAAAAATATATATATATATATATATATCCTACTACCCAAAAAATATTGCCACGTGTAAGCTTCTTAACACACTATCTCGATATTAAATAAGATAGCTTCTTAGTCATTTTGATGTATTTTTGATTTAATTAAATCACAAATAATTCTAAGAGCAACATTATCGATAACATCTTAGATTTTGATCTTAGAATTAATTTACTATTAAATCTCATAAATTGCCACATATGCATATCTTAGGCTTTGTTTTGTATCTTGCAGAAGATACTATCTTTCTAATAAACCCGGTTTTTGCATTTAATTTAAATGTTAAATTGTCTAAGATATATCTAAGAAGCTGCCTATAATGTTGGCCTAAGATCTTGCTGATAACGTTGGTCTTAGCTATCCAAAAGTGTTGTACATAAATGAAAAAAAAAAACAGTTAGATTAATATAATACATAAAAAAAAAGTATGAGTTATAAATTTCTACTTTGTAGGGGCAGAAGAAATTTAGAAGTCACATGATTTCATTGCTTGTAAGATTTGTGAGGTTTTGTAAGGATTCATAGAAACTTTTTCCAATGAATTTAAATGCTTCTGCCAACTTAAAGAATGTGAATTATAGGCTGCCTTGCAACTCAAGGAACTGTGTAATGGTGTTCTAATAGGAGATAAGTTCAGTTACGAGAAATGGTGCGTAGTAGAAGATAAAGATTTGTGAGAATGCAAAAATTTGGTAGATCTGTTGAGAATTGTCTTTGATTAGACCTACAACAAGATAAAGCTTCAAGCCTATACGTAGAAGAGCCAAGCATAGAAAATCTTTAGATAGAAAACATTTTATTTTGAAACTTACATAGAAAAATAATATGCATCCAAACAGATTGGCTCGGTAAGATACAAATTACCGAGCGTCAATGACTGATAGAGTGATTTGGTTAAATGTACATTCATCGTCGCGTTGTGTACTTGACGAAGAATCACCCTCAAGAGGACTTCTCCCGACGCAAAAACCGGGGCGTTTAGGCTGAGGAATAGCCGTAGTTTCACTTCCAAGCATTACCATTACTGTCGACATCACTGGTCTGTCTTCGGCACGTTCTTGAACACACAAGAGACCAATTTGTATACATCTTAAAATTTCATGTGTCCGGGATGTAGATGATGATGAAGAATCTATATTGATTGGATCTACAATCTCTAACCCTTTACCTTCTTTCCAATGCCTCCACACCTATGCATCAAGAATGTAATCTTTCTTTATTGTTATGATCAGATTATGAGTGCTAATCGATATATATTGAATTCGAGAGGTTCTTGACGTACAAAACCGAGGAGATTAAGATCGCGGTTTGAGTTGTAGAATCCTTTATTTCTCTTGCCACATATAATCTCCAGAAGCAAGACACCAAAGCTAAAAACATCTGACTTCATTGAGAATATCCCATCCATTGCATATTCTGGAGACATGTAGCCGCTACACATAACAAAGAATAAACTCATAAGTTTGGATATGAGATAAAAAGGTATATGTTTTTTTTTGGAAAATGGCTGCTTACTATGTTCCAACCACCTTCCTCGTATTAGCTTCTGTCTCTTCCCGTCCAAAGATCCTAGCCATCCCGAAATCCGAGATCTTCGGAGTCATATTTTTATCAAGCAATACGTTACTTGCTTTCAAGTCTCTATGGATGATCCTACACCGTGAATCTTGATGAAGATATAGAAGTCCTCTAGCAATTCCATTGACAATATCAAATCTCTTCTGCCATTCTAAGTTAGAGCGTCGAGTTTGGTCTACGAATCGACCACAACCAAGAACGTGTTAGCTTATTACCAAAAATGTTCAATTGTTAAAACATAACCATTTGTTGAGTCATTCACTAACCAAAGAGATGAGAATCAAGGCTTAGATTCTCCAAGTACTCATAGATCAACATCTTCTCTCCCTTATCAACGCAACAACCAAGAAGCCGGACAAGGTTTATATGCTGAAGCTTTGCAATTAGCCTAACCTCGTTCATGAACTCATCGGTTCCTTGAGAAGACATTGTCGATAGTCTTTTCACCGCGATTTCTTTTCCATCAAGTAACGTTCCCTATTACCACACATTTGATCTATATATTATACAATGGAACCTTTTGCAGTTATAATATAGATTTCAATAAGTTTTAAATCACTTTTACCTTGTAAACAATACCGAAACCACCTTGTCCAAGCTTGTTGGTGTTGGAAAAATTGTTTGTTGCCTTGGCAATAGCTTTAAACTCCATCAATGGGAGCTCTAGATCTTCTATTTTGTTTTCTCTTGATGTGTATCTCCTGCTTGATGCTACCACTTCATTCATTAATGAATCCTGGCTTCTCACTTGATCAACTGTTTCATTTAGACACACACCAATAGAAAATTTGGATATTAGAAGTTTAAAATTAAGAGACAAAAATAAAGGAAATGAAAACTATTGAATATTGGTTTACCAATAGGTGTGTGAATTGCTATTGATCGCTTCTGCTTCTTTTTCCAAAAATAGAAGATAATAAAACTTAGAAGAAGCAAAATGCTCACTCCAATACTCGAACCTATGATTTTTTCATTTCTGGCTCGCTTGTTCACTGCAATAATAAGAAGACATATATTTTTGATTTATCAATAGGTGTTTGAATTACTACATCATGTTGTCCAAAAAAAAAAAAAGCCTTCAAAGTAAACTTTGTTGTAACAAAATATGATACAAAATCAGACAAAAATAATTAAACATAGACTAAACATAGTTTATTTTTGGTATTTTGGTTTTATGATCTATAGCTAAAACCATACTAATCTTTTGTCATATAAAGTTTTTTTTTTTGTGAAATAACGTACAATAAATTCATCATTTTACAAAGGTTTACTCTTCTTTATCATAAAGAAAACAATTACGGTATGGATTCTTTAAATTGGAATATCAAAATGTTGACTTTGGGTATGGATTCTTTAAATTGGAATATCTAAAGGTTGACTTTGGGTCGGTCCAAAATGACTTAGAACCTCTTAGTCAACAAAAAGAAAAAGACAAAAAAATAATTCTTTAATTTGAAAAATGCAAAGGAATCAAGTGATAATAGTTCAATTGGTAAAGATTTTTGACTAAAGCTTAGAGATCGCCGGTTCAAGTAGCGTTTGGGACGAGACCATATAATATGCTCTGGTCTCGGATCTGAGGGGATGTATGGGTTTCGGTCCAGAACCTTTTTGATTATTCATAAAAAAAATGCAAAGGAGAAAGAAAGAACTAACCAAGATCAGCAGCGGCTAGTCTAACGTAAAGATCCTGACCACCCTTAGCAAAATTCCTCATATCCAAAATCTCTCCGTTCCAAATCACACAACCCGAACCGCCATCACGAATATCGGCATTAGCGAACGCCGTGCAATTACAATCTTTAAGGCACCTCTCTTTACATACTTCCAACCCAACTCCTCTATCCACAATTGTTACATTAGTATCCGGCAGTTTTATCCTCTTCAACCGCGCAAAACCATCTCTACCGTCACAGCTTAGCCTCGTCTTCCTAATGCAACCACCAGAACCATCTCTTAAATCCCAAGCTTCCTCATTCTTTGGCTTAAACCCTTTGATACAATTACAATTTGGTAACGTGTTGGAATCGCAATAACCAAAATTCCCACACTCTTTGTAGCTATCACATAGGTCCTTTGGTGAGTACCATAGTTGTTTCCAGCTTTGTGTTGTCTCAAACCAAGTCAATCTTTGTAATAACCCCGCGGAGCTTAGGCTTAACATCGAGTACATGTTAGTTTTGTTGATTCTGTATGAGTAAGTGACTTCATCTTTACTTCCTGTGAAGTTGTAAACCATGTAATCAACTTGTTTCGTCCCCGGTACGCTGCTAAACCGGATTCCGTTCCATGGACCGCTCCGGTACATTATGGCTTCCTTGCTGCATACGTAAAACTCAGGGAAGTCTCTATTTTCGAGTTTAGTCGAGAAATCGCCGCTTGATGGATCATCTTCGGTTTTCCAAGATCTCAAGATTCTGTTGAATCCGGTTTCGCGATCCCATCCAAGTTTCATCTCCGGTAATAAAGTATCTGTAGGAAAATCAAAACTCTGCCACATAACTCTATCATTGGAGTCTTTAAGCACGAAGTTACCATTATCAAGAAGCTCTGCGACCACTGGTGGTCTCACGTTCCCTCCGGTAAGATTCGTCGACCAAACAGGTGTATCGGATTGATCGACAAGGACGAGGTTATTGTCGGATAGTTTGAGAGTTCCGTTAGAACCATAAAGAGGACTGTCTCTGTTCGCAACCCATACGTAGGTTCTTTTAGGGATTATCTTGTACCAAACACCGAGGTACCAACGCGAACTCGATGCGGGATTGAAGAAACCGAGCTCGAAGATTTGAGTAGGAGATATGATAGTTTTGTTGCTTAAGATAGTAATAGACTCTTTGGTAGACAAAGTGTTTGCTGAAACATAGAAATCAAGAAACAGAACTAAGATGAAAGTGTAGTTTGATACACTTCTCATTTCTCTCTACGACACTTTCTTGTGTTTTGTTTAATTTTTCTTTCTTGAGGAAATTTTTTGAACATTCTTATATATATTTGATAATATTTCTTGTATTGTGTTAAATATGTGAACGTTGTTTAAATCTAATATTATTGTTGATAATATTTCATTTTCGTCTTTATTTTGTTTCGTCCTCTTGTTGGCATTTGAGTTGATCTTTCTTCGTTTACTTCAAGAAGTCGTTTGATTCAGAATTATTGATCAATGTATTTTTGTAATTTTCTAAGTAAACTGATCTTTCTTCGTTTACTCCAAAAATTTATTTCGTCAACCCTCTGTTTGTTTGTTTCTGATTCCTTCACAATCTAAATCAAATCATGAAAACAAAATACCAAAAAGAAAATTCAACGATTTCACTAGGTTAGACAAATAAAACCCATTTTAAGTTAGCCAACCAAATTAACGTAAAATTGAAGGTTTTTTTTTTTTATATAATCAAAATGAATATGGACTTTTTCACTTACTTATTTGACGAGATCTTTAAGATTCATGTTATTAGAGTATGAATGTAGTGTAATTTATATAAAGAGTGTTGCTTTTGTTTTTTCATTTTTTTTTGAATTTAATGTTAAATTATATTCAAAGAAAAAAATATCGTTTGTACAATTAGTGCAATATAGTTTTGAGAATTAGATAACTAGAAAATTGTTGAAAAGACTTTTAGAAAAGCCTCAAAGCCTAGAGTGAAACCAGATTTGTAAACTTTGCTCGTAACGTCTATCTCCCATCTGTTGAGTGCTTGTGAGATGATTTCAGACTTGTCTATCAATCCATTGGAATAAGTGGCCTGCAGGTTTTGGTGTTTCTCCATGTATGCGCTCATTTCTCTCTCGCCAAATGGTGTGGACAGTTGCTTTTGTTTCTTCACATTAAAGGCTTTGAGAAAATATGTTAAAGAAACACTTATAATAATTTCCGACCAGTATATTGGTTAACAATTCATAACCAAGAATGTTTCAACAAATTGTTTCGAACAAAAGAAGTTTCTAAAAATTAGGACGTTATAATAAATTTTGACAGAAAGAAATTCATCAGAGGATGTTCCAACAAATTTCCGACTATATAGTAATCGTTGTAAATTTATATATTTTCCGACTAATTTTCGACAACTATTATTTTCTTAGGAAATTAATCAAAACTTTGTGGGAAGATAGTTGTAAAGTTTCTGGCCATGTATTTAGTCAGAAATTTTGGTCAAATTTTCCTATGTTTTCTTGTAATGCAGATACCTCTAAGTACATGGATAATGGTCACAAAATGTGAGATAGCTTGCAAACATTGTAAAACTCATAAATAGGGTTTTGACCGCAAAAAAGAAATTAGAAAAAACAGAGAATCCCATGAGAGCTTTTACAACAATGTTTAGGACACAGCTTAGATAATGGAAGAATAACTAGTTGAAGAAACAACTTCAAATTCAATCTCTACTCTCAAAGTGTCTTCCTTATCCAAATAAGCCTCCCGAAGCTTAGCCATTGACACAAGCAAACCTTGGCCTGTGCTTGAGTTTGATTCATCGTGCCAACAAACAACTATAACATAAAAAACAAGAACATTCATAAGCATGCATGTTATGTGAATCCTAAAGATAGCTTCATGAGCTCACAGTAAGATTTTTATCATTGGTTTAGCCTTATATTAACCAATCAATAAAATAAAATGCATTAGATTCACATACATTTCTTTGTGGCGTGATTGGATCCATACGGGTCAAGAACTCGGAGAACACCACGAGTGTAAATCCTCTCATCCGACTTTAACTTTTCATTTTCTGCTAGATGAAAATTAAAGGAGATCCATTTGCTGTCTGATGTAGAGAAGCACTTGGTAGACAACTTGAATACCCTTAGAGAACAAAAACATACTTTAAATAAAGTTTTATTGATCTATACCGCTTTACTTCCACATCTAGAGATGTTTGTACTGATTAATACGTATATATACATAATACAGAGAAATAGACGGTGATATAATGTTATATATGCGTGGACGAACCTTGAATAGTAAAGTACTTGTTTGCTTTCTTGTTATAGACAAAGAACACAAGATATGCAAAAACCTCACTTGGTGGTTTCGACATAAGGCTTGTGTCATCAAGCTCCACATACAATGAAACAAATCCATTTCCTTTGTCTTTTTCGTTTCCTTTTGGGTATATAACCAATCTCCTACAAAAGAACAATAATAATTTTAAGTTAAGAAACCATAATAATAATTGTATATTTGATAAAGGATGTAACAAAAGATCACGTACCAGTTGTATCCACCGGACAAGAAACGACGGGTTTTGTATTTGTCGCTGTTAAGCTTCGAGGGTTTGTTGATTTTGAGAGAATAAGAAGAAGGAGGCTGCTCTCTCCATATCTCCACAATTGTAGAATCTGCTGCGCATGTTCCCATTTCAACACAACTACGTACGACCTTACTTTATCCAACACTATATATGTTGCATGCAACTCTAGAGAGCTTGAAGATTGTTGATATGTTAAGAGAAATAGAGAAGTTGAAATGTTTTGAGTGTGTGAAGAAGGAAGGTGAAGCAATCTCTCTTTAAAGACCAAAGCGACGTCATTGGAAAACGAAGAGTCGTGCGTGACATCTGTCTAAGCATGCACAAAAAGTTCACTCTCATCGTCTAATTTTCGATTTTACTATTTTATTTGTTATTATTATTTTCGAATTTTTGCTACATTTGCACTAGGCGTGGGTAAAATAACCTACGAATGGTTCTTTAAATTCGAATGGATTGAAAATTTGAAGATGGAAAATTTTGAGTTGAATATCATTTAACTACATTTGAACACTTTTTACTTGTAACTAGGTTCGGATCCGCGCTACAGCGCGGGGGAATGTCATCGGATTATTTTTTTAATATAATATAATATAATAATAATTTATTAAAAATAGGTAAACTTGTATTTTGCTAACATTATTAATATATATATAATGATGAGTAAATATATATATATATATATATATTTATCCAAATAAGTAGTTGGTGTGTAGAAGGATAGTGATAGTGTGTAGTTGAGTTTTCTTTGTTTATAATAGTAAAAGGAGAAGAAGGAAACGATGATTTCTTAAAAGATATTTTGCATTAGTATATATAAGTCATAACTATCCCAATAGTTAATATTATTATCACTTAGTTTCAAATGTGAAGATCATTTTTTGAAAAACACATATGGTTTTAGTAGTGGAGGTGTATAACTATTTTTTGAGAAACACATATAAGTATATATAAGTCATAACTATCCCAATAGTTAATACCAAATTTTGTTCGGTATTGGAGATTTCTTGTTGTGATTTCGTAATATACGCACATACGATTGAAATCTTAGCTAGTTATTAATATTTATTGATATATACTAATTTAGATAATTCCCAAATATGATCCGAATATCTTGATTGCCAAGGTTTTTTAAAATCTCGTTTTTAAACAAATAAACAATTAAACTGCGATTAATGTGGGAGTAGGCAAAAACCGAATCCGTTTGTTAACCCATTTCGATGAGGATCCAGGGGCGGATCTAGAAAATTTGTTCAATGGGGGCAAAAATATAGTAAAAAACTATCAAATACTAAATTATAAAAGACATAAAATTGTCATGTAAAAACTTTAAAACATCTTACAAAACCACTCAGACAATCATTTAACAATTGAAACTTTTTACCACATTTTCATTTGTGACAGATTCAAATAATTAAAAACAAAAAAACATGTTATTAATTAAAAATTTAGAAAATTTTGAATTTATAGAATTATATTTTAAAATTTATTAATTTTCTATTTTTTTGAATTATGTAACAAACTTCCATAAAAGCTTAACCATAGAATAAACATATAAACAATTATCACTGCAAAAACTAATATAGTCATGTATAACATAAAAACCTATATAATGTTTTCTAGGAAACATAGTTATAAGCTTGAACTGGTTAAATAAAATTAACTAACTAAAAAATAATGCTTATATAATAGAAACGATTGTAAAAAAGCAGGAAAATAAACTCACAAATTGATAGTTGTTGATTTGTTATCACACAAAGAAACCAAAGGACTAAAGAAGTAGAAAATAACAAAAAATTAAGTCTAGATTAGTAAGTCTTTAATTTATATATTAATATATTTTTTTTGGTACATGGATTATGGGTTTTCCAAGAAAAAGGATAAAAAGTAGTTTTTTTTGTGGGGACAGATTTTGTTTTCTAATAATATTTAATAATTTTTTAATATTTTTTTTTTTTTTTTTTGCTGGTGACAGCTGCCCCCACCACCTTGGCTGTGGGTCCACCCCTGTGAGGATCCATCATTTAGATTTCGGGTTATGTTTTTTAAAAAATCCGACCCGGAAATATTAGATGTACTCCTCTTTTACTAATATAGAGATTTGTATATTTTTTCAGTTTTTAAGTTGAATGGACTGAATCTTTTTTTTTCCAACTCTTTCATCTCAAATGGTAAAAAATTAGTTGAATGAACATTCAACTTTTTCAACTTGGTATTTTCTGTCAACCATTCAAGAACCGAACCAAAAAAAAAAATATCGAAACTGAACTGAAACCGACAAAAAATTCAGATGGATATTAAATTTAGTATCTAAAACACCAAAATCGAATCGAAAATCGATTGAATAACCAATTATCAAAATTAGAAAATATAAACTTTGATATTTTTAGACCGAATTAAGCAAAATGCTTTAAATAATTAAAATCTCTGAAATTTTTAGTTATACATTATTTGGCAAAACTTAAACGAATATATATATTTAAATTCTATCCTAATTTTTAGGTAATCGGAACCAAATCGAAAATATCCAAAACTGAAACTAAACTGAAACTAAAATTTAAATACCTGAACAAATACTAAATTTCGTTAGCAATTAACCAAAAATGAAAAAACCAAACTGAAGAACCAAACGTTCATGACTAAATTATTTTGCACTAATACCACATCATCCACTTAACTTTTCTTGGGCTTGATGGGCCTTCATTTATAGCTAAATTTTAAACCCAGTAACCTCAATAAAAACCAAAACTTTAACCCAATATTGCAATCTCTTTCGGTTTAGATATCCAATTTTGTTTTAGCTAAACCATATAAACCGGTTGAAATTGAAAAGTAATTTACACAAACAAGACCAGTAACTAAACCAAAACAATTACAAGAAAGCCCCAAAAGTAACCAAGTTAGAAACTTTAGACTAGAGCAAGTAAATCACTTCTTCGTCTCCTTTCCCTCCAATTCCTTTACTCGTCAATGTCCTTCTTCTAGAAACCTCTGTTCCTGTCTCCCAAAACCAAACCCTTCGTCTCCGAGTAATCAACTGTGACAACAACTCGAAATCATCAAAGTAAGCCCTTCAAATTTTACCACATCATCTTCAAATTTCATCGCCGTACGTTGTAATGTTTAAGCCAATGTAGACTTTAGGGTTTTTCAATTTTTTCAATCCGAATCGCAAAAAGCCTAAGACGTACGGTTTCCCCATAAAGAACAATTCGGAATAAACCTTACTTTACCTTTCAATGGTTCATGGTTCTCATAAAAATCGTTCCTTTAACTTCGGTGTTGACCCAAAGAATCACTCTGTTGTAAAGTTCGAACCTTTGAGGGTTTAGCGTAACAAAGTTTTGGTTTTTAAAGCTACCCTTTTGTTTTTGATCTTGGACAGTGAGAAATTGAGTTTGGTAACTGTGTTATAAATGCCGAGAATGCGTATTGAAGGAAGAGATTTGGTTGATCTTGTGCTTTCGTGGTCTCTTGAAGAAGTACTCAATGTGGATCTTTACAAAGGACAGGTTCTGTTTTATGTTTTCTTTATTCTCTTGTGTTCTTGTTTATTTCGTAGTAAACAGAAGCTTCCTTAATATGGTATCTTTCTACATAGTAATTTTGTGTATTTGATTGGTTACAACAGGTTGGGAAGATTCCTATGGAGTTTGAATCAACTGGAGACTACTTCAAGTCCTTTATTCCTCCACTTATCGAAGAAACACATGCTGCTTTGTTGTCGAGTATGAGGAAGTTATGGCAAGCACCTGTGGTTGAGATAAGCTACATTATGCAAACAGCAGAGTTTAAGCTTCCTAATGACTTGTTCTATAAAGTTCGTTTGAGTGGAATGAGTAATGATGAGGCCAGTACGCAGTTGATGCCTAGAGATCTCATCGCGCTGACAGATCAAAGGCCAAATCATGTTGATGGCTTCGATATTTCAAGTGAACCTTATATAGTTGCTCTAGTGTGTAAGGCAGATCCAGACAGGCCTAATGATGTCACTATTTTGGCTTCAAAACCCCTTTTTGTTGAGGAAGGCCGGAGGAAAAAGAATGGGAAGAAAGGAAGCCTTTTCGGTATTCATCTGGTCAATTTAACTACTAATATCCGTATCTGGAACGCACTGCATCCTGGTGTAGAAGGTGCAAACTTGAATCTTATCTCAAGAGTCCTTCAAAGAAACAGTGAGGTAAACAATATTAATAAATTCTTTAACAGCTTTTGATGTTGTAATCATTTAATTTATTTTGGCTTCTGGTTGTGTAGGATGAAGGATTTTGCATTCCCTGTCTACTAAAAGGAAGTGATGGTCTTGCTCCTCGTCAGTTTTTGAAACTGAATCCTTCACAGGAAGATGCCATACTGAGTTGTTTGGACGTTAGACGATGTTGCCATGCGAATACCATCAAACTGATTTGGGGACCACCAGGGACAGGGAAGACGAAGACAACAAGTGTGTTGTTGTTCACACTTCTGAATGCAAAATGTAGAACCTTGACATGTGGTCCAACGAATGTTTCTGTTCTTGAAGTGGCGTCAAGAGTTCTGAAACTAGTCTCTGGATCATTGAAGATTGGTAACTACGGTCTTGGAGATGTTGTTTTGTTTGGGAATGATGAGAGGATGAAGATTAAAGATAGGAAAGATCTTGTTAACATCTTCCTTGATGAACGTGTTGATAAGCTTTACCCATGTTTTATGCCTTTTCACGGGTGGAAAGCTACTATTGATTCCATGATACATTTACTTGAGGATCCGAAAGGACAGTATAATCAATACTTGGAAAGTCTGGCACGGTTTAACAAAAACGACACTGGTTCAATCTTCAAACGCAAAGGACATGAGCAAAATAAAAACATAGTGGAACAAGTTTCTGACTTTCAGGAGAAACATAAACCTCCTCAATCATTTCAAGACTACCTACCAAAGAGATTCAGTGAACTTAGGAAAGATCTGGACCTTCTTTTCTCAACTTTATGTACACATTTGCCTACTGCATTGCTGTCATCTCAAGCTGCAACACATATGTATGAAGCTATTGACCTTCTCAGAGATGCTAGAATTTCAGCTACACCAGATGGAGTAACTGGTGAAGGACTAAAATCGGTTCTTATTGCTAATGGAGAAGAAAGTGATAGACTCAACAGACAACATGTGACACTAGAGGATGATTATCTAAAGCTGTTAAGGTCAATCCCTGAGATTTTCCCACTTCCAGCTGTAAGTGATAGACATCTTATTAAAGAGCTATGCTTGGGGAACGCTTGCCTGCTTTTTTCTACAGCATCATGCTCTGCGAGGTTATATACCGGAACACCAATACAGCTTCTTGTGATCGATGAAGCTGCTCAGTTAAAAGAATGTGAATCAGCCATTCCTCTGCAACTTCCAGGAATCCGACATTTAATTTTAATTGGGGATGAGAGGCAACTTCCTGCAATGGTTGAAAGCAAGGTATGCGACTCTGTGTCCTCGCAAAGTCACTTCGCTCTCTCCTTAACTAACTTTTATTTAAAACTATATAGATTTCTTTAGAGGCAGCATATGGGAGAAGTCTCTTCGAAAGATTGGCTGTTATTGGACATAAGAAATACATGCTAAACATCCAGTATAGGATGCATCGCTTGATAAGTATCTTCCCAAACAAAGAGTTCTACGGAATGAAGATTCTAGATGCTCCAGCGGTCAGGCAAAGAAACTACACGAAGCAATATCTTCCTGGAGAAATGTATGGACCTTACTCTTTTATCAACATAGCACATGGACGAGAAGAATATGGGGATGGAGAAGGACGTAGTCTGAAAAACAATGTTGAAGTTGCTGTGGTCATGGCTATACTAGCCAACCTTCTCCAAGGTGATCTTTGATTTTATACGGGTTGTAAAGAAGTCTAAGAGAAAGTTTGTCTCTATCTTTGGTTCTAGTACAATGAAGCAGACATTTTTGTTTGCTAAATGCAGTTTCAGAGAAAACAAAAACACGCATAAACGTTGGTGTTATTTCCCCTTATAAGGCTCAAGTATTTGCAATTGAAGAAAAGATTCAGGAAACATGTAAAGGTGATGCAGGAGGATTCTTCTCTGTGAGGGTCCGGACTGTGGATGCGTTTCAAGGTGGCGAAGAGGATATCATAATAGTTTCAACAGTTAGGTCCAACGGTGTGGGAAGGGTTGGATTCCTTGCTGACCGCCGAAGAGCAAATGTATTACTCACTCGAGCAAGGTAATTAAGGCATCTCTCATTTCTTTGGTTATTGCAAATAAATGTGTCTTTCAATTATTATTTGTGTTTTCTATAGGTTCTGCTTATGGATACTTGGAAATGAAGCAACTTTGATGAATAGCAAGTCTGTGTGGAGGAATCTTATAAAAGACGCAAAGGAACGTGGCTGTTTTCATAGTGCTGGAGAAGACGAGTCATTAGCTCAGGCTGCGAACATCGAGTTTAACCAGCTTGATAGGCCACTGAACAATTCAAAATGGAAGGTAGTGACTTTCATTTGTGTTCTTTTGGTTTATTCCATTTCTTTGAGACTTGTCTTTACACGCATGTGAAACAGCTTTGCTTCAGCGTCGAGTTCAAGAAATCTGTGAGAGAAATTAAGAACTCAGAGATTTACAGGAAGATAAAGAATTTCTTAGAAAGGATATCACAAGGTTGGCTTAATGAAGAAGAGGCAGAGACAGACAAACTGGTTTCTTCCTCTCATCTTTTAAAACAAAGCAAGATCGACGACAGTCTAAGGCTCATTTGGGGTGTAGACATACTTAAAGAAGATTTTCATTATGTTCAAGTTCTTAAGATTTGGGATGTTGTGTCATCATTTGATGCTCCTGAAGCTATAAAACGTCTAGATTTAAACCATACAAGATATACAAAAGACGAAGTAGAAAAATGCAGAGCCAGATGTATCAGAGGGTGAGTGACATAACATCTTACTTATAGTAACAGGCAAAAGCATTGTTTATCTGATTTCTTACATTGATGCAGGGAAATAGTCGTACCCTTGAGATGGTCTGTTGAGTCTACAAATGGTAAACCTGAAAATAGCTCGGTGGATTGTTCAAGCGATGTTATGGAGACATTTGGATCACTCAACCTTGTGGGAGAAATGTTCTCTTCAGTACCATCCAAGTAAGTTTAACACTTGTTTCAGCACATTGAGCAAGATCAAACTCTCATCGATTCTTTTTGTCTGCAAAAAATCACAAATAGGGCATGTAGTGACTCTGTGGAACCTTTGGAAATCGAAAAGGAAAAGGAGGATATTGCAGTAGATCAACTAGGAGATCTCTTTGCCTCCAAACTTTCTCTATAAGGACAGAATCTGCACTAGTGTGTTTTGTCAAATACGTTTAATAGGTTCATATGTACATGTTCTTTTTGGTTGTAAATTCGAAAATATGTTTCCATTATGTACTGCTTTAAGGTCGTCCCAACAGAGACTTACTCTAGAAAGTGGCAAGTTCTGTATCAGTTTGAGATTACTGTATTCTTAAGTTTCTCTAACACTTTAGAAACCAAACAAGACTTGAAGGAACATGGGAATTAGCAGCACCATTCCTATGAGTGTTTTTGACTTTTTTGTTAAAGGATTCATGCATTTGTCTTTTGGTAAAACATCTATCGTAGAGACAATTTTTTTAATGAAAGACTATAAAACTTTTCTTGTATTACTCAATTAAAATAGTAGTAAATAGATTCACAGAGACTTCTTTAGTGCATGTATCTACTATGTATGTTATATAATTACGCTATATATATATATTTGTCAAATGTCATTACGATCATAGCTATATCAATTTTTCTCTTATTATTATTTTTTTATAATATATATAGTAAATAAATAAGGATGCCAACTTTTATAAGAATTTTGATCATTTTACGAAAAATGAAAACGTAATGAATATTCTGAATTAAGGAAACTCGTATCCAAACGTGAAAAAGTGTTATTCAAACTCGTATTTTGATTGGTTAAATAAGAGAGGTACACCCAAGAATTGGTTGAATAAAATTTTTTTTCTGGAATTTAAAACAATGCATTCTATAAGTACCAATTTATTCATTTTCAGTAAGGGAAATAAATGAATTATGTTTATATTTTTTTTATTTCTTTAATTAAAATGAGAAAAAGAAAACAACCATTTGCCTTATAACTGATTCAATTCTCCAAATTTCAAATAAAAAAAAGAAACATGGAAGCCATTAATGATATAAAATCGAATATACATGCATTGATATATACTAAAAAAATAGAAATTTACGATTACAAATATTCAGTATATGGACAAGAGCGTTAATATAATACGAATGCATTGTACTTATTCATATTAGTTTATAGCAGTAATATTTTGCATTTATTAGTTTCAATGTATGTTAATATATTATTCCTTTAAACACAACCATTTCAATTCTTAATTGTTGGGATTCGTAATCTTACTTAGGTTCCTTACGAATTTCAAACGTTCACAATATCTCTTATAAACCAAACGAAACTGTAACAAAACACAAAGAGAAGACAAGAACAATGGCAGATTGGTCTACCTTACCACAAGACCTCCTCAACTCTATCGCTGTCCGTTTGTTCTCAGTCGTGGAACTCAAACGTTTCCGTAGTATATGCAGTTCTTGGCGCTCTTCTGTTTACAAACCTTTCCCGAGACGCCCCATCATCCACTTCAAACCTTCTAGGAAGAAGAACCTTCACCACAACATGGAGTTTCTTTCACGTTCTGTCTTTTACCGAGTCACTCTCTCTTCCTCCTCGAGACAGGGCTGGCTGATCAAAACTGAGGTTGATGTAGACTCCGGGAAACTACGTCTCCTCGACCCGTTATCTGGCCTTGCAATGCGACCTTTGTGCGATAGTCTTGATCTTTTGGAGTTCACTATATCCGAGATTCGAGAAGCCTACCAGGTTCTCTACTGGGGCACGAGAAGAGAAACTAGGGATAGATTCAAAAGAGTGATTCTTGTGAAAGACAAGAGAGGAAATCAGCGGGTTCTTGGAATCCCTTGGGATGGGAAGATTAAGTACTGGAAAAGAAGAAGAAGATACTGGAAAGTTAAAAAATTAGCTTATCGGTTCTCTGATGTTATAGTTCACAAAGGGCTAACTTACGCATTGGATTCAACAGGAATTGTTTTGTGGATTAGTTCCAAACTTAAATTCTATAGATATGGACCTCCCCTTGGTGATAATATCACAAATGGATGTTCGGGAGAGAGGAGATTTGTGGAGTGTTGTGGAGAGCTTTACATTGTGGACCGCCTTTTTGGAGAGATTTCTCGAAAGAGAAAAGCTAATGCAAATTTTGTGTCTGTGGAAACCGTCGGTTTCAAGGTTTATAAGTTTGAGGAGGATTTAGGAAAAATGGTTGAGGTCGAATCCTTGGGCGACAATGCATTTGTGATGGCTAGCGATACTTGTTTCTCGGTTTTGGCTTGTGAGTATTACGGATGTCTCCAGGATTCTATTTACTTCACCGAGCAAAGACAGATCAAGGTGTTCAAGCTAGACAATGGTAATGGAAGTAGTATTGAGACAATGTCTGAGTATTCTCAGAGCTGTTTCCAAATGTTTGTTCCTACTTTTCTTTAAATCTTCTTTTGGTCAAATCTACTTTCTTTATAATCATCTAAATAAAATAAAAATAAAAAAACCTTCCTTTCTCTTCATTTTGGTATAGAAAAAGCTTGTAGTACATAAGACATAACAATCATATGAAGCACAAGTACTTCTATATGGTTACCATCAATCCATGTATCTAGTACCTTTTGGAAACGAGAACTCTATAGGGACTCTATGGGGACGTCCTTAGATGTGTGGAGGAAAATAACATCCAATTTTTAATATATGCATCGATTTCATTTCATTCTTGACACTCTTATGATATGCATATTTTCATTCTTTTACATTTTTCTACATTTAAAGGTTTTTCCCCTCTTTTTTTTTGTTTCTTTAAGGTTTTCCCTTTTTCTATTCACTTCTCACTCTAGGTTTGCTTCTTATATTTTTATTGAGGCATCCATGCAGTACCCATATCTATAAATTTAAATTTTATCCGTTTTCTATACCCTTTTCTAGTTCCCGTACCCATTTTAGTGCTACTATATGTTTACGATAAATTCTTCAATTGAAGATGGAAAAAAATAAACGATCTCATGAGTTTTTAAGCCATTGATCAGATTATGATAACAAGAAAGAAACATAACCACCTAGATACTGCCCCGGCTCAACAATTTGGCATGCCCATGGGCAAAATTAGTTTTTTGGTCTTTTATCTAATTTATACTAAAGAGATTCAATTTTTTTGCGCCCATAAAACATGTTTTAAAGATATTTTTTATATATAAATAGGCTCTTTCATGAAAGAAAAAACAAAAATGGATCATATTATATGGATCCAATATAATTTTGGTCCCACATATATTTTACTATTTTACAACAACAATGGGCCATTAAATCTTAGATTTTTTTTTAAAAAGTAATCGGGCCCATGGGCCACTGCCCCTCTGCCCACCCTTGTTGAGCCGGGCCTGCCTGAATATATCATATTTTAGATAGGATTTTCACCATGAATAATAAGATTATATTATTACCCATCTAGCTTGACTCATATTTGCTTGAATGTATGGAGAACAAAAAGCTATGTTATCACACGTGGGTGAGTATTACGGATGTCTCCAGAATTCTATTTACTTCACTGACCAAAGACAGATCAAGGTGTTCAAGCTTGACAATGGTAATGGAAGTAGTATCAAGACAATGTCTGAGTCTTATCAGGGTTGTTTCCAAATGTTTGTTCCTACTTTTTTTTTTAAATCTTCTTTAGGTCAAATCTACTTTCTTTATAATCATGTTGATTAAAAAAAAAAAAACCTTTCCTTTCTCTTCATTTTGGTATAGACAAAGCTTGTTATACATAAGACATAACAATCATATGAAGCACAACTGCACAAGTACTTCTATTTGGTTAATATCAATCCATGTATCAGGTACCTTTTGGAAACGAGAACTCTATAGGGACTCTATGGGGACGTCCTTAGATGTGTGGAGGAAAATCACATCAAAGTTTTGATATATGCATTGATTTCATTTCAATCTTGACACTCTTATGATATGCATATTTTCATCGTTTTACATTTTTCTACATTTTAAAGGTTTTTCCCCTCTTTTTTTTTGTTTCTTTAAGGTTTTCCCTTTTTCTATTCACTTCTCACTCTAGGTTCACTTCTTAAATTTTTATTTTCCTGTTTTCTGTACCCTTTTCTAGTTCCTGTACCCATTTTAGCGTTATTATATGTTTACGATAAATTCTTCAACTGAAGATGGAAAAACTATAAATGATCTCATGTGTTTTTAAGCATTGATCAGATTATGACAACAAGAAAAAAACATAACCACCTCGATATATCATATTGTAGATAGGATTTTCACCATGAATAATAAGATAATACTATTACCCATCTAGCTGGACTCATATTTGCTTGAATGTATGTAGAATAAAAAGCTACATTATCACACATAAGACTCCAAAACTCTCTTAGTGATAAGGTTTTAAAAAAATCTAAAAAATCTTTGAAATATCCTAAAAGTTAACCTAAATCCCAAAAAAATTCAAACTCATACCAAAGTTATATAAAATCCCTAATTCAATGGATTCACATTTTCACATTTTGAAAACATGATTTTGTATATTTTACCATTCGATATATATTTTGAAAGTGATTATGCTATATAGCGAGTTAAAAAATACATACCTAGAAACACATTATTAATCTACTAAAACGACCATTTTAGCGTTTTATATTTATTTTAGAAAATCTTAAGCATTATCAGTTCGTTAATTTTCATTCAGTTATTTCATCATTCAGTTATGTAAATCAAGTCAATTTTAGTATCAGAAAACTATTAATTTTCTGCTTTCGAAAGAGAAAAAAAACATCTAGTCAAGTCATACAAAATATTCCATACCAAATGTGACAAAACATTAATAGTAAAAAATCCAATGGAGTAAGAAATGAATAAAACCTATTTGCTAATATTTTCCAGCAACTTGGAATTTTATCAAAGGCTCCTAATATATTAATTGGCTTGCAAACAACCAAATTAACGAAACAAACACAATAGAGAAATGGCTGATTGGTCTACCTTACCGGAGGAGCTCCTGTTCTTGATTGCTATTCGATTGTTTTCTGTTGTAGAACTCAAACGTTTCCGAAGCATATGCACATCTTGGCGCTCCTCCGTTCTGGGCAACAACGATCTTTTCCCAAACCGCCCTCTCATCTTCCTCAATCAACTCCGAGGAATCTTTCCCACACAGTGGTGCCCTGTCAACTCCCCTTTCAACGCATTTCTCTCACGTGCCGCCTTTTTTTGCGTCACTCTCTCCTCCTCCTCGAGCCAGGGCTGGCTTATCAAATCTGATGTGGACATCAACTCCGGGAAATTTCGGCTCATCGATCCGCTATCGGGCCTTGCAATGCGACATTTGTGTGAGAGACTCGATCTTTTGGAGTTCACTATATCAGAGATTCGAGAAGCCTACCAGGTTCTTGACTGGGACACAAGAAGAAAAACAAGTGATAGATTCAAAAGAGTAATTCTTGTTAAAGACAAGAGAGGAGATCAGCGGGTTCTTGGAATCTGCAGCAACGGGAATATTAAGTACTGGAAAAGAAGTCAATGGAAAGTTAAACAATTTGCTTATCGGTTCTCTGACGTTATAGTTCACAAAGGGCTAACTTATGCATTGGATTCAACAGGCACTGTTTTGTGGGTTAGTTCTAAACTTAAAATCTACAGGTATGGACCTCCACTTGGTGATAACATCACAAATGGATGTTCCGGAGAGAGGAGTTTTGTGGAGTGCGGTGGAGAGCTTTACATTGTGGACCGCCTCTTTGGAGAGATTTTTCGAAAGAGAAAAGGTAATGCAAATTTTGTTTCTGTGGAAACGGTCGGTTTCAAGATTTATAAGTTTGAGGAGGAATTAGGAAAAATGATTGAGGTGGAGTCCTTGGGTGAAAATGCATTTGTGATTGCTACCGATACGTGTTTCTCAGTTTTGGCTTGTGAGTATTATGGATGTCTCCAAAACTCTATTTACTTCAAAGATGCCGAGGAAGATCAGATGAAGGTGTTTAAGCTAGAGAATGGTAGCATCACAACAATGTCCCAACCTTCTCAGAGTTGTTTTCAAATGTTTGTTCCTAGCTTTCTCTAAATCATGTCAAAGCTACTTCCTTCATACATATTAAGTGTATCAATCGTCTAATAAAAATCTCTACATTTTCTATATGATTGTCCAACCTACATATGAATCTGTTTTTTTTTTTTGTTGAACTGCCTAATTTTGCTGAATCCTACGTATTTTTCTTTAACCAAAAAAAAACAAATCTTAATATTTTGGGTATTTTCTTTCTTGACATTTTACTTTCAATCACTCATCAATATCGTCAAAGGCTCGTGTAGGTAAGTTTGGTTGTAATATTGTTTAGCTTTCTACTCTGATTATGTAAACATGCAGACCCATCTCATACACATCCTACACCAAATTGTTGTTATTGTTATATCCAAATGGATAGTTCACATATTGAAACACCAACATAAAAGTTAAGACAACTTATTACAAATAGAATTTACAAAAAGATGAATAGAAAAAGTACAATAAAACCTCTATAACTCAATACATTAATAATTTTCATAAATTAATGAAATTTTCCGAACAAGAAAAAAAATGACACAATTCAATAAAATAATTATGTAAAATATATGTACTGAAATATGACATTTGTGAAGTTATTTTTCTTAAATTTAATTTAATTTTTATTAGAATTATTTTCTAATATTTTAATTATAACGAAAATGTTTTGTTTTCACTTTAAAACATATGATATATATGGCTTACGTTGTAGTTTCTCTACAAAAATATTAATTATTACAATTAAATCATATTTTTACAAATATCTCTTTTAAAATTATTAACAGTTTAGAGAAATCTCTCTATCAATTAATAAATTTTTCTATCAAAATTAACAGAATTTAATTGTCTATATGTTATTAGGTTATAGAACTTTTACTGTAGTTGAATTCAATGTATCTTATTGGACGATGGTCAATGTATCTTAGATGATAATCAATGTATCTCACTCTTTTGTTACAAAATGTATTCATTTCAAGTTGAGAAACATATCGTAACTTATGACCAATAGTTTTCAAAGGAAGCATGTATAGACTTATTAAGGATATAAAATATTCACCGGAACCAAAAGTGGCAAATATCACAAGTTTAAGAGTCAAATCTTAATAGAAAATTGAAATAATATTAGTTAGCAATTTAAGAATAATATTATGCAGTTAGATTCAATGTAAATATTTTTTAATTTCTGGATACGAGGGAAACTTTGTTTTTAAAAATTTTATTTTTTCTTTTAAAGTTAAAAAACACAACTATTTGGAGCCTAAATGAGATTTGAAATCTTATTAGGTTTTACTTGAAAGTACAAACCTAATATATATATATTTACATGTGACTCACAACAATACAAAACACTCAACAAAAGTAGCCAAACAAATAGATTTGTGAGAAATGGTAGCAAATTGGTCTAACTTACCTGAGGAGCTCCTCAACTTGATCACCGTTAGATTGTTCTCTATTGTTGAACTCCAACGTTTCCGTAGTATTTGTACATCTTGGCGTCGCTCCTCTCTTTATGGTGTGGACAAGAACAATCCTTTCCCGAGACGGGGCTCTCTAATCCAACTTAATCCTATTGCCCCTAGCGAAACCCTACCAGAAGACGTGGTCTACAAGTTTAACTCCGGTTCGTTCCTCTTGCATAACGCCTTCTTCCGAGTCACTCTTTCCTCCTCCACAAGCAAGGGTTGGATTATCAAATCCGACTTGGACATCATCAACTCCGGGAGATTCTATCTCCTTGACACTCTTTCGCGTGGTCCATTACGCTGTTCTTCCAAGAGCCTCGATCTTTTGGAGTTCACTGTCTCCGAGATTCGAGAAGCCTATGTTGTGGTTTACCAATCTAAGACAAGAGTAACGGCTCCCAGATTCGAAAGAAGTGTTCTTGTCAATGTCAAGGTTGCAGAAGATTATCATCATGGAGTTCTTGGAATCGGTTGGGATGGATATATCCACTACTGGGATGGAAATGTCTTGAGGAAACTTTTACAAATGGGTACTCGTCACTTTTCCGACATTATAGTTCACAAAGGGGTAACTTGCGTTTTGGACTCACATGGCATTGTTTGGTGTATTAGTTCTGATCTTGAACTCTCTAGGTATGGAACTACTTCACTCGATGAAACAATCACTAATGGTTGTTGGGGAGATATGAGATTTGTGGAATGTAGTAGAGAACTTTATGTTGTCGAGCGACTCCCGAATGAGAATCCCCGGAAGAGAAAAGCAGCTGGTACAACAACATTTTACTATTCCAGAACGGTCGGTTTCAAAGTTTACAAGATGGATGAGGAATTAGGAAAATGGATTGAGGTTAAGACCTTGGGAGACAAGGCGTTTTTGATGACTAGCGATACTTGTTTCTCGGTTTTGGCACATGAGTTTTACGGATGTCTCAAAAACTCTATTTACTTTACCGAGCAAAGACAGATCAAGCTCTTTAAGCTAGACAATGGTAATGGAAGTATTATCACATCAAAGTCATCGAAGAGTTCTTTCCAAATGTTTTCTCCTAGCTTTCTCTGAATCTTGTTTAGGTGGAGGTCAAAGCTAATTTCTTAATAATTAAAAGTACCAATCATCTATATTAAAAAAGCTTACTATTATATTGTAGCTAGGTACAACTTAAATATGTTTATTCTTTCGTTATCATCTTGAAGCATTGCGATAGTTTAAGATGCCATCAAATGATTGACGAGCACATTACTTCTCTAAGCGAGTTCATTAGTAACGAGAACTAATGAACGTTCTCCTGAAGCTATAAAACGTCTAGATTTAAACCATACAAGATATACAAAAGATGATGTAGAAAAATGCAGAGCCAGATGTATCTGATTGAAGATGTTACGATATTACGATAAATACTTCAATTGAAGATGGAAAAAAATAAATGATCTCATGAGTTTTTAAGCCATTGATCAGATTATGACAACAAGAAAGAAACATAACCACCTGGATATATCATATTGTAAATAAGATAATATTATTACCCATCTAGCTGAGATTCATATTTGCTTGAATGTATGGAGAACAAAAAACTACGTTATCACACATAAGACTCCAAAACGATCTCTTAGTGATAAGGTTTTAAAGAAATCTAATAAATCTTTGAAATATCCTAAAAATTAACCTAAATCCCAAAAAATTGTTAAACTCATACCAAAGTTATATAAAATCCCTAATTCAATGCATTCACATTTTCACATTTTGAAAACATGATTTTGCTATATTTTACCATTCGAAATATATTTTGAAAGTGATTATGATATATAGCGAGTTAAAAAATAAATACCTATAAATACATTATTAATCTACTAAAACGACCATTTTAGCGTTTTATATTTATTTTAGAAAATCTTAAGCATGATCAGTTCGTTCCGCTAATTGTCATTCAGTTATTTCATTAATCCATTAAAACATACCACTTGGAACTTATGAATGATGAAAGAAAAAATACAATTGATGAATGATGATGCTACTTAAAATACAATTGAGGTATATTGTAAACAAATAATAGAAAAGCTACATGAAATATGGCAATTAATAACGTAGAGGAGGAAACAAAGAACAATTAGATACAATATCAAAACGCGGTATCCACGGTTAAAAACACTAATTTTTGTTTTACAAAGTTGCCAAAAAATCCATTCAACATTATGACATTATTTGACTTTAAACATGTGGATATAGTTTCATATATATAAGATCACCATGATTCTCTTTTATATACACTTACAAAATAAAGGAGAACAAAAAACATAAAAAGTGGGGAGAAAAAGACTAACCTTGAACTGGGCCAACCAAAGAGCAAGGAGAGCCAACATTAAGACGAGGCTGGCCGGACTTATCAACAAAACAGCTCACGATTAATTACGATGTGAGAGCTTGTCTTGTGGTGTTTGATCTCGAGGAAGGAAGATCCAGTCAATATCAAAAAGTTTGAGAAGAGGTGCAGATGGGTAATCTCATGTTCAAACTCTCGTAAACTTGCTGATCTTTCCCTAACCAAGATTGATAAATTGCTATCATATACTGGTAAGAAAATTATGTCATTCAGGGTTGAGATGGAGTTGATCCTATAAGTGTCGACGAGACATCTCTAAGTGATGCGGCCCTAAGGGCTTCCAATATTCCATATGATGGGTGGGCCATGAATAGTTATGATGTAATGGAAACTACAACTGTCTATTATTAATATAGGTCGGGGGTCTCTGGTGAGACTCGTTATCCAAAATGGTCTCTGAAATTGACATAAACATGGAACCATCTAATGTTGATGAAGAAGACTTGGGGTGGGGGGGGGGGAGGACCTCTAAAGGAGAGAGCAACAAGGTTGTTGGTGGTGCTGAAGAGTGAAGACGATGCCAAGTGAAGTTGCTGTCGATGTTTACATGACAATGCATGTGTGTCTTGAATTATCTTGTCCAAATAATCTTCGTCTTTTCTATTATCATTGGTCAAGTTTTTCATGTCTCTTGGTGGATGTTATAATCATGTAATATTGTCTTGTGATGTCAAGTTAATTTTAATTAAATTTTTGTTTCCTTACTATTATTTGCAATTTGAAGAACTTATCCAGATTAGAAAGCATAGTTTAATTCTTTTGTTAAAAGTATTGTACCATATTTTCTAAGTTAACCATTGGCATGCATCGTACATAATTTTCTGCATTTGATTTTTTTTAAAATTTAAATAGAAGTAAAAAGTATGACTGTTATTATATAATAAATGAAATATTATTTTATATTTTTTGACTGTATAGGAAAAAAATATATTACATGCATGCATATCTTTGGGTATTCAAGAGTTTATAGGGATGATATCTTCCTTTTTTTTTAAACATTGTTGTTAACAGTGTGTCATATTATAAAATTAGGATAAGGTATGTTAAATTATATTTGATCCCTGTATACTTTCCTTATATTAAGAAGAGTTGAAATGAGTCAAAATTTTAATAAGCCGACTTAGATTGACCTTAAAAAAGCAAATTACCCAATTCAGTTGGGTATGTTTCAAATAGTTTACAAAATTCCCTAATTGTAACTTTTCTGGGCCGATTTAGCATACAAGCTTAGTGGTGGCACTGAGTGAAAAGATTATGGAAACAGACAAGCCCATTACTAGCAGAATTGTTGTAGAAAATAAGACAACTGTTCAAAATTAAAGAAATAATCAATAGGACCCATCTATGAAATACATGGGATGTGAGATAGAAATAAAGAAGCGGGAGACAAATGAAAAAGGAAGGGGGGGGGGGTTCTTGACTTCCATTTGTTTTCCTTCATTTTTTCTCTTAGTTTCAAGTTTTATATGTTTGATGAGAAGCTCGGAAAAATGGTTGAGGTTAAGTTCTTAGCAGTTACTGCGTTTGTTATGGCTACTGATACTTGTTTATCGGTTTTGGCTCGTGAGTTTTACCGATGCCTTGAAAACTCTATTTAATTCACCAAGCTAAGACAGATGAAGTTGTTCAATCTAGACAATGGTAATGGAAGTAGTATCGAGACAATGTGTGAGTCTGCTTAGGGCTGTTTCCATATGTTTGTTCCTAGTTTACTCTCAATCTTGTTTAGGTCAAATCTACTTTCTTTATAGTTATCTTAATAAAATCAAATAAAAAAACCTTTACTTTCTCTTCATTTTTGGTATAGACAAAGCATGTAATACAAAAGATGTAACAGTTATCTGAAGAACGAGTATTTCTATTTGGTGACCATCCCCGTATCAAACCTTTTGGAAATGGGAACTCTATAGGGACTCTATGAGGATGTCCTTGGAGGAAAATAACATCGAATATTTGATATTTTGCATCAATTTCATTACATTCCTAGCACTCTTATGATATGCATATTTTTTTTTTTTTTCATTTTTCTACTTTTTAAAGGCTTTTCCCGTCTTTATTTTTTCTATGATTTTTTTTAATCACTTTTCAGTCTAGGTTCATTCCTTATAGTTTTTGTAATCACTTCTCACTCTAGGTTCATTTCTAATCACTTATACATTAGTGCTACCTAACATGTTATGAAACATTCATCTTCAGTTGACAATTGAACCACAAGAAATGATCGCATGAGTTTATAAGCCATTTATCAGATTGTGACAATAAGAAAGAAACATAACCACCAGGGATTGTCACCATGGACAATAAGATCATATTATAACCCATCTAGCTAGACTCATATTTGCTTCAATGTGTGGACAAAAAAAAAAAAGCTACGTTATCAAAAAATTCACTCCAAAACTCTCTTAATTATAAGGTTTTAAAGAAAACCTAATGAATCTATGAAATTTCCTAAAAAATATCCTAAATCCCACAAAATGTTAAATGCCACGAAAGTTATATAAAGTCACAAAACATCTAAATTTTCGCATTTTAAAAACATGATTATGCCACATTTTACCATTCAAAAATTTTTAAAGTGATTTCGCTATATACCACTAGCGAGTTAAAAGATAAATACCTAGAAAACATGATTAATCTACTAAAACAAGATTTTTAGCGTTTTATATTTAGTGTAGAAAATCTTAAGCATGTTCAGTTGTTTCCGCTAATTATCATTCAGTTGTTTCCTCATTCCATTAAACGTACAACTTGGGCCTTATGTGAATCAAGTCAATTTTAGTATCAGAAAACCAATTCATCTTTTGTTCTTGAAAGAGGAAAAAAAAATCTAGTCAAGTCATACAAAATATTTCATACCAAGTGTGACAAATGATAAACATGAAAACACTTAATGGTAAAAAAATCCAATGGAATAAGAAATGAATAAAACATATTTGCTAATATTGTTTAAAAACTTGGAAGTTAATCAAACATTTCGGTATTAATTGACTTGCAAACAACCAAACTAATAAAGCCTTCAGTATTGCATCTTATAGGATCAAGATCCATCTCATTCTTGAAAGACATCATTTTCTTACCACAATATGAAACCATTTTATCAATCTTTGTTCGAGAAAGATCATCAAGTTCACAACCACGGTTAAATTCAAACATGAGATGATCCATCTCCAATTCCTCAATAGTCTTGCGAGTATCGGCTATTTTCCTCTCAATCTTTTGGATATTATCCTAGATGAAATACTCTAGATCAAAGGCCACCTTGACCCTTTCATGCTCGGTGAAAGAGTAGTAATTCTCTGTGAGTGATTTGGCCTATTGGGGTGATGGGGACAACGCAGCCTGATATTCCTACGATTAAACACCACGTGATTACAGTTTTCAGATCCATATATGTGAGCATTCTCCAGTTATTTCGCTTCATTCCTTAATTATACTCACAGAAATGGATCTCAAACCTGACCACATGGTGTTTGATCGCCATGAAGATCCGGCTGTGGTGCTGCCATCTACCTAAGAGGTGAAATCACTCACATAGAATTACTAATCCTTGACCGACCATGAAAGGAATAAAAAGGCCGTTGATCTAGAGTCATTCATCCAAGTCAATATCAAAATGATTGAAAAGAAAATAGCTGATATTCGGAAGGTTATCAAGGAGTTGCAGATGGGTCAACTCATGTTA